GAGGAATGCAACAGTGGTAACATAGATGAACGGGGTGATGAACATAGATGAACATAGATGAACGGGGAGATGAACATAGATGAACGGGGTGATGAACATAGATGAACGGGGAGATGAACATAGATGAACGGGGTGATGAACTTGCCAGTGAAAGAAAAGGAAAACTGGCAAAAGCAGCATTCTCTTCTCCCATCTCCCTTTTATCTGGGCTGCCACTGGAAGGTGCCACCCTCATTTACAGTGGATCATCCCACTTCAAATAGCCTGATCCAGAAAGTTCCTCACAGCTTGGAGGTTGGAGCTAACAGATCCCGTGGTAGCCTTGACATGATGATTGCGGATGAGCTGGAAAGAGAATGGTTTCCATGCTTCCTGACAGAGCAATAGAAAAAAGTGTGGATGTCCACGGCTGGGATGTCCATGAGGAAAAGGCCAGGTCTGACTCTGGGGCTCACTTGGGAGCATTTTGAGCCCAAGGTAGAAGAGAAACCAAAGAAAATATAATGAAATGCAGTTCAGTGTGTGACACTGGAGCCTGAACATTTTCTCTGTGTTGAATACATGAATATAAAATGTGGGTGGGACTCTGGGTGGGAAGTCAGTGCCCATGACTTACAGAGTCTGCCTGAGACTTTGTGGCTACTGAGCACAAATGGAAGGGACAAACCCTTCAGACTGTCATTTTCTTTGTCTAAGATGCAAAGACATCAGAGAAATTGGACTCTGAGATTTAAATGGAGAATCCCACAACCATATTTTTGTCTTTAAATACTGCTATAATAGGACGCACAGGAATACAGCTCAACTTTCATGCTGAGTCCAGGATTAATAATATCTTCCAAATATTATATTTTTATTTCTCTCTTTTAAAATTCTTCATTGTACCCCCAGTTTTCTTTGTTTAGCCTTGGAACATGGCTTCTGCCAGGTGCCTGCCTTCTATGTGACAAATTTTTAATGTCAGTGAATTTCAAAGACATAAACTTATACATAAACTTATACTTTCCTATTAGGTTCCTAAACCCTATTCAAGATAAAAGTCAATCTTAGAGCTAGGTAGAGTAGTACATACCTATAATCAAAAGTCAGTTGGCCGAGGCAGGGACATTCAGAATTTGAAGCCAGGCTGAGCTAAACTGTTTCAAAAAATGGACACACACACACACACACACACACACACACACACACACACACGTCTCTTCACAGCAACAGAAACCCTAAGACAGAAAGCTAGAAAGACTGAAAAACACATGCACACTGGTCATTTAGTACTTGTGTTTTGATCCATCGCCTTCAACTGTGCTTTTCATTTATAACATTTGTGCTTTTCATAAGCAATACAGGTAGACTATGAAGAGGGAGGTGGAGGGGAAAAGAAGAGGAAAATGGGAAGAAAGAGAGAGAGAGAGAGAGAGAGAGAGATAATATCATAAGGCAAATGAAAGATCAAATTACAAACATGACTAAGAAAGAACTCCCAGAAGTCAGAAGTTGAGGAGGATAAAAGAGAAAACAATCACAGTGTTCAGGCTAAAGGCAAAGAAATGGTAAAGAATGGCAAACTTGTCAACAAGGTGACCATTGGTGACCAAAACCCGTCTGTGGAGTAACAATAAAATTTGGATTCCACTTTGTGTGAGACAGGGAATATAGAACTTAGAGAAAAGACTAGTTCAAGAACTTTCCGTTGGAAGAGAAGAAATCAAACATTGTTCGTAGGAGTTTGAATCACATAGTGAGCATTTCCCAGCATGCTGGACTCCACATGGGAAGTGTGGTGGTTTGAATGAGTTGGTTCCTACAGACTCATTTGTTTGACTGCTCGGTTACTAGCTGGTGGACTGTTTAGGAAAGATTAGGAGGTGTGGCCTTGTTGGAGGAGGTGTGTCATCAGGGGCAAGGTTTGAGGTTTCAAAAGCCCCCCTCCCTCTCCCTCCTTCTCTCTGCCTCCAACTTGTGGATCAGATGTGAGCTTTCAGCTCTTGTTCCGGCGCCATGCCTGCCTGCCTGACATCATGCTGCTCATTATGATGATCATGGACTAACCCTACGAAGCTATAAGCAAGCCTCCAACTAAATACTTTCGAAGTTGCCTTGGTCATGATGTCTCTTCACAGCAAGAGAACAATAACTAAGTCAGAAGTTGGCACCTGGTGTGTTGCTGGGATGGGCTTGACCGCACTGCTTTTTGGGTGGTTGGGGCTTTGGATTAGGAAAGTAGTTGAATGTAGTAATTGGGTCATGCTGGTAGGAGTGAAGAGGACGGTGGTGCTGAAAGCAATGCTGCCTGTGGAGACGTGGCTCAAGAAGTTTCAGAGGGAAAGAACATTAGCAGTGATCTAGAGGCCATTCTTGTGATATCTTGGCAAAGAACGTGACTGTTTCCTGACCTTGTCCTAAAAATCTGTCTGAGGCTAAATTCAGGAGTTTTTGATTGATTTTGTTGGCAAAGGAGTTTTCAAAACAGCCTAGTATTGACTGTGTCCTGAGATTATTAGTGATCATTCTTATACAGAGCTACAACGGAGAAGAGCTAGCTGGGCAAAGAGAAACACAAAATGTACAGTTTGAGAGGAAAAAGAGCGCCAGGAAATGCATTGTTGGAGCCCAGTACTGTGTCCAAGGAGATAAAAGCTTAAAGGGAAGGCTGATGCTAAATGGAGTAACTTCTGATCAAGAACCCACGCTGAGAAGCTTCCAACTTGTAAAAAGGAAAGCTTATGGACTAAAATCAGGTATGACCTGCATCAGCAGGTCAAAGATAATATAAATCTAAGTCTTGGAGGGGCAGGCTCCAGCCCCAGCAAGCAGCAGAAGAACTTGGCAGCTTTGGGCCATGTGGTTCTGGCTTTAGGGTCAAGAAGGGTGCAGAAGAAAAGGGGTTGTGGCATCTTCCTCCTCAGGGAAGGAGAGCAACAGGGGCCAGGCATGTGGCAAGGGAGTCTGTGCAAGGAGACCTGGGGATGCCAGTGCATGAAGCTGTGAAGGTGAAGCCTGGAAGGGAGAGAGGAGGAAGAAAGGGAGAAGGGAATGGACAGGGAGAGAAAGAGAGAGATTATAGTCAGCAAAGCTGATAATAAGCCCTGGTCATACACTGAGCATAGAGGATTTGGAGTCTGCCCTTCAGGTTTTCATCTTGCTTTGTTCCAGTTTTTCCTCTTTGTGTCTCAATTCCTCCTTTTGGAATGGTAATGTATATTCAGTACCATTGCATGTTGGAAGTAATTTTCTTTTTGATTTTATAGGGGTAAGACCGTGAAAGACTGGGGACTTTTGAAGTTGGACTGAATGAATTTTGCATTATGATATGGCTACAAGCCTATAAAGGCCAAGTAGTGGAATGCGGTAGTTTGAATGAAAATGGTCCCCACAGGCTCATATGTTTGAATGTGTGGTACCTAGTTGATGGAATATTTAGGAAGGATTAGGAATGTGGTCTTATCATAGGAGGTGTGCCATTGTGGGGCAGGCTTTGGGGTTTCAAAAGCCCACACCTGCCTATCCTCTCTGCCTCTCTCTCTTTGTATCTCTCTCTCTGCCTACAATCTGTAAACCAGGTATGAGCTCTCAGCTACTGATCCAAACCCATGCCTGCCTGCTTGCCTGCCATCACGCTTCTCACCATGATGGCCATGGACCAGCCCTCTGAAACCGTAAGCAAGCTCCCAATTAAGAGCTCTCTTTTAAAAGTTGCCTTGGTCATGATGTTTCTTCACAGAAATAGATCAATAACTAAGACAGGAAGTAAATTTCAGTTTGGGAAGAGAACATTCTCCAGGAACAGCCCTTAGTCTCCAGGGATGAGAAGATGCTATTCCAGCGCCTCGCTTCAGGGCATCATCCCTCTCTAACATATTCACCACCACCCCTACAGCACGGTTACCAGAACAGTGCAGCTGCCTGTGCCTGTCACTGCAAAGGAGAGGATCAGAGTCAGAACTCGAGTCTTCAATTTATTCGGAGAGGCAGCCATCTGAGAAGGCGGTCGCTTACAACCTAGAGGCCTGTCATCCATCTCAGCTCCAGCCAGTGAACATCACAGGAGACGGGAACCAGGTAGTCAGTCATTCTAGTGTTTAGCCTTGCCCCTCTGGCCAGGTCGTCAGCCTTGTCTCTGAGTGTCAACGCCTCCCTCTTTATCACCAACTCCACTCTTCTCCCTTATCATCTCTCTCCGTGCAGCTGGGTTTGTACACCTCAAGGCTTGTATTCCTCCCAAGGTACCGCCTGGGGAGAGGTAACCCAGACAAATAAACCATTCCAGTGTTCCCTGAGCTGTTTGCGATGTATATGTACTGACTCCTTTTTATAACATGAGTTCAAATGTCGTCTTGTAACCTGGACCATAAGCATATTCATCTCTGGCTCAAAGATGGATTCTCCACCTCTAACCAGGAAGACAGCTCAGGGAAGACCCACATCCAATGGCCCATTGGGTAGAAAGTTCCAATTTGTTTAACACATTCCTTTCCTCAACTTTGCCTGCCCATCTGGTTCTGGTTCTTAAGGACATTGCGTCAGACAACCAAGGCAGCTTTGTTCCTTGGATTGGGTCTTGTGGATTTCCTGACCCCTCCCACACATTTGCTGGATCATCTGGATTCAATCCGATTGTTAGAGCCCTTTGCAGCCTTCAGATGAGGTAAAACAGACATAAAAGTAAGCCACTCCTTTCTCAGCGTCTTTTATACCCCATGAAGTACCTGGTGTTCACCTTGTGTCCTCCCTCCATCCCTCCCTCTAATCCTCCCTTTCTCCCTTCCTCCCTCTCCCATACTACAAGGCCACCTAGCCCCCAGACTAACCTGTCCCAACCAGTGAGGGACACTGAGAGAGAGAAAGAGAAAGAGAGAGAGAGGCATGAAAAGAAGCACATTTTTATGAGGAGAGCATTACAGCATGTGGGAACGATGACTACAAGAAAAGATGATACTGGTGACATTCAAAGTTGACAGTAGCTTGAAGCATTTGTGACAGGCAAGCCAGACTTCTTCTCAGGGTTAGAAACTGGTGATTTTCATAGGATATTTGAGGCAGCACTTTCTCTTCTTTGGGCAGGTTAAGTGTTGGATCTCGAACTTCTGGCAGGCATTTCTGCATATCCCCCTGTGAAGCTCACATGGAATCCAAGGTACTTGTCTCTTGCTACTGCGGAATCCAAACAGGTCACCTGGGAAAGACATAGCCAAGCTTGGTTTCTGTGCAGCAGTGATGCTAGCAGTGAGAAACCATGATTGAACTGAAACAGTCCCTTTGAGCATAGGACCCGGAGTCAAAACATCTGGAGTCAGCCTGGGGCTCTGTCCTGTGCTAGATCCATGCTTATGTGGCTTCCTTCAGCCCTCTGACCCTGTGTCATCTTTACAAGGGAAGAAATAACAGGGCCAAGTCCCTAAGGGTTTTGTGATGATAGAATTAACACACAGGAGATGTCCATAAAATCATCAAGGATTTAATAAGTACTGAAATAATATTTTATTATATAATTATATAAATATTATATAAATTAATAATGAAAGTAAGTTACTTATTAAAGTAATTTAATAAGTAGTTATATGGCATCATTGTTGTGGATATTTTTCCCTAATACCCTGAGTCCATGGACTGCCACCACGAGTTGACACGCTCTATGTGCCCTAGCAATGTGAGTTTCAGAAGCAAACACACATGTTTGAACCTGTGGGTGTTCGTGACTTGATGCTATGAAGCAGGCACAAGCATGTTCCACACACGTCTCTGTACATTGCCCCCAAGGAAGCAGGTCCAGGGCAGGTGTGTGCCACACCCTGTGACAGACACACGGGTCCTGCTAGTGTGGCTCACGCATGCGTGGGGCGGATGCGGGTGTTCTCACTGCCCGCCCCTCCTCCACACATGTGCTGCACGGGGCTGAAGCCGGGCTTGGTAGCTGTGGACCACTCAACCAGTGGCGTGTTCAGGCTCCTTGACCGAAACCCCAAAGTTCCTGGCACTCAGTTGGCACTTTCTGAGCACTATTCGCCAGCTGGCTCTTACGACAGATGAGGCGTGAGGAAGAAAACAGTGAAGGCATTCACTGCCACCTCCTTTGTGTCAGGATCTCTCAGGTGGTGCCTTGGAGAACCCTCACAAAAACTTACTGCGCCTCTCTCCTGCCCCCACTCCCCAGGCGCTATTTTTAAAACTATTTATTTGGGGTTCCTTAATGCCTCTACCACCCTTCCAAACCCCAACCCGAGGTAGGAAAGAAGGTTAGTGGGGAGACAGGGTGTAGACCTCTTTATAATTGGTTCCAGCTGGTTGGGGTCGTCGGGTTCTTTGGGAACAATATTAATCTCAGTCGTCAGAATATCTAGCAGCCCAGCAGAACCAGAAGCCTTCTTTCTCCACCCGTCTCCCCAAAAGCACCTTCCTCTCCCTGGGCTCTGGTGTTTATATGCTTCCAGAGTCTCAGAATTCCACTAACTCCAGGTGGCATGGATCGTGCCCTGCATGAGGCAATCATTAGCTGTGGACAAACTAAAGCAGCCCAGTATCCCACACTCGGGATCAAAACATGCTTACAAAGCATGACTGAGTTTTTACAGAAGCCGAGAACTCCCACAGCACCCCACCGTTTAATGAAGATGCAGGGGCTCAAGGTGGTCTGTGTGTGATCCAAATTTCCATTGCTTGTTCTTGATCACATCGGTATGAAATTTGGGGGTAGGGGTGGGCACGTGAGCCGCCACACATGTATGGAAGTCAGAGGACAGCTTGCAGGAGTCTGCGGGTCTCAGGGACATCAAGCCCATGCTCACTGCTCTGAAGGTCACGCTCCCTCCCTTTGCAAGGATTCCCCAGGCAGCATCCTTTTGCCTCATGTATGTGGCCACGAGGCCTTCAGCAGTCGGTCTGGCAGGCCTAGCTTGGCATTCAGAGGCCTGTCCAGCCTTCCATCTCTTTCTCACTTTACACCCAGGCAGGCATTCATGCGGGACCTCCCAAAGTCTCCAGTTGGTAAGTAAAAAATGGGCCAGCTAGCTGGTTTAGTGAGGAAAGGTGCTTGCCACCAAGCCTGATGGCCTGTTTTCAGTCCCTGAGAGCCACAGACTCTTGCAAGCTCCCCCCTGACCTCCACACACATGAGGTGGGTCATATGTCCACACTTCCACACACACAATAAATGAATAAAGTCAATTCATTGTTAACACTGAGGAAAGAGAGATGATGGCGGTATGACGTGATTTATTTCATAGAAAAAAGAGTGCTGCGTTGCTTTTTGTTTTTTAAACAAGAAGGGGTAAAACTTCACAAGTTGAACTGAAGACGGAGAACCAAAGAGGAAATAATAAGGAAAAACGGCTCAGGGGCTCGCATCTGGAAGCTTCTGGGCCCTGGTGCGTGTGTGAAGTGCCTTGGAAGTCTAGAGAAGACACTGGGTGCCATGTCACCTAGCCCGATGGTTAGAAAGTGGTCCCCAGGCACTTTCCCGCAAGTTGTGCTCTGACTTGGAAAGAGCATGCACAGGAGCGCGCACATCAATAAATAAGGGCAATAAACAGCATTTTGAAAGGTTCTGCACCATAAAGGAAATTACCAGCAAGATGGAAAGACAAGAATTTCTGTTTCCCAGAAGTCAGAGGCCACAAAATCTCTGTCATGCCTTAGAGGTGATGGAAGCCAGAGCAACCTAAGACTTTCAGAGACCCTGAAGGAAGGATCAAAGGAAAGTCAGCTCTGAGGCCTTGCTCAGGGGCAGACTTGGTGAGGGCTGTTTCAGTTCCTGGGAACCAGCTTTCCTCACTGAAAGGCTGTGGTTATCAGATGTATCTGAGGTATCCTATGGTCTCTTTGCCAACATTGCTTGATTTAGCTTTCTGCTGACTTTGGGCCACCCCACCCCCACCCCGGAAAATGGTACATAAGATACTGTGCTTCTTAATAAACTTGCTTGTGCAATATTTCCTGGCCAGCTTTCCTATCTTCTTTATCTTCTCATCTCCTGGCCCTCCTGCTTAGGACCCTGTCACTGAAGAATGACCTGCTGGTCCAGGTCACAGAGGGATGGCTGGGGATGTAGATACTGAGGGCTAGAGATCAGACAACTGTCTTGTCTTTACTCTTTCCTCTCCTCCACCCCAAGAGGATTCAACCCACAGCAGCTCAAAAAGTAAGTGTTTTTTGCAATAAAGCTTTACTCACAGACATGCACAGCCTCTCCTGCTGTTTCCTAACATGGAGTTGCTCCATATCACCGCTGGTGTCACATTCAAGTCACCGTTAGACATCTCTCTCACCCTTCATGAGCTGCCTTGGGGGCCCAGCACTGCCTCTGAGTCTCTGTATAGTGTTGTGTCTCTAACCCTAGTCTCCCCACGTGAGAAATGGGAAAGGGGAGGTGTGCACCAGGCCAGGAAACCTCAGCTCTGTTTGTGAAGGAAGCTCGTGAAGTCTCACAGCGTGGGGATTACTCACTCACAACCCTCTAATGTAGCTGATCTAGCATGCTCTTAGCTAAAGCCAGAGCAAGAGCAGTTTGCTGGGGCCTTGGACAAACAGCCATGGGCTCCTGCCTGAAATGAGAGCTGAACCCTAAAAGCCCCCTCAAGTTCAACCACAGACACTGCCAGCTGAATTGTTTTTAAGAGCGAAATAAATTGTCATAAACCAGAAAGGGAGTGATACTGGGCTGGCTGCAGCTGCAGGGGACTTTGAGTTTGGTGCTCATCACTGATGTCAGGAGGCTCACAGTTGCCCGTAGCTATAACTTCAGAGATTCTGCTGCCCTCTCCTGGCCTCTGTGGGCACCTACACACGTGTGTGTATGCACATACATGTATCCCTAAAAATAAAAATGAAATCTTTGTTAAACAAGCAAAAGATGTGCTCAGACACTTTCTTTTTAAAATTTATTTTATTTTTTAAGGTGTGTGCAAATGCCAGCAGAGTCTAGAAGAAAAAGTCATGTGATCACCTGGGGCTAGAGTTTCATGTGGTTATGAACTACCCAATACGGGTGCTGAGGATTGAAGTTGGGCTCTCCACAAGAGCAGTAAATGCTCTTAACCACTGAGCCATCTCTCTAGCCCTACTCTGATCCCTTTCTTACAGCTCCATCTGGACCCCAAATCAATGGGACACATCATTTCTCAAACATCTGTGTGCCCATGCATGGCTGTCCCCATCTGCCTCCTGAGCTTCTTCCTCGCCTCATATACTGGTCATAGGTCATTCACATTTTCCTTTGTGCACTCAAAAAAAAAAAAAAAAAAAAGAAAAAAGAAAAAAAAGAAATTTGTTCAAATCTACTCTACGCAAAGTCCTCAGCCCAGTGCTGGGAACACATCAGTTTAAAGACAGTCTTGGCATCAAATAGTTCAATTTGATATGCATGTTTGGGGCAATGAAAGGAAGAGATGACTTTGACTGTCCTGGTGGAAAGGGTTGTCAGGAACAGCTCCTGCTCACAAATCCTGCCTGGAGACAGTCATAAAGTCACGAGAAGCTTTTGAAGCATGGCGTGCTGCCTTCTCGTGTTATTTCTCACGAGTCTGTCTGTGCCCTCTACCACCATTCCACAACTAGCTTTACTGACCAGGAAGTCAAGGGTCCTTCTGTAAACTGGAGAGAAGAAGGAAAAAAGTGACTCAGAAGGAGAATGTGAAGGAGAAATAATAAGCGAAAGGGGAGGACAGGAAGGAGAAACCTGCCAAGGGTGGGGGAAGGACAACTTTAGACACAGGTATTTGGTACTCAGGATGAAGGAGACCACTCACCTTTCCCACAGCGCCAGGCCCAAGTTGTGCCCAGTGTCTCTGCTTGTGCCAGAACTTGACAAGACACACTTTGAGACCATTCCCATCTCCTGATCACACTTCAAGTCCTCACTCTAAAATCTTCCTCAAAATTGGAAAATGATAGTAGATATTTTCTCCCCACTTGCTGGAAAATGATAGCAGACATTTTCTTCCCACTTATTTCTAGAACCACTTGATTGTTCCACCGTGGGATGCATGTATTTAATAACACACTTTCAGTTCAGACATACGTACACGCCCATGAAACCATGGCCACTCTCTACCATCACCAAAGCTTTTCTCCAACATTTAATAGTTATTTAATATTTTTGTCCATTAACTTTCTTAGGCAGGTATCTTCTCTAAGCCATTTTATTTGTTTTATTTTGGTTTTGCTCTGACTGTCCCAGATCTTTACTCTATAGCCCAGGCTGGCCTCAGACTCGGAGATACGCACTCCTCTGCCTCCCAGGTGCAGGGATGAAAGGTTTGTGCCACCCCTCCATGCCTGGCCTCTAAGCCACTTTAAAAATAGACTGTGTGATGTAAATAATTTCTGTAGCTTGAGCAGTTATTCATAAAGGGCAAGTTTCTTCAGTGACTGGTGTTGAGAAAACTTTGTATATCTACCCATAAAGGATGAAATTGGACCCTATGCCAATTTACTCAAGGAACTGAAACTGTAAGAGTCCCAGAGGAACACACAGGAGAAAAGAATCTTGATATTGGTTCCTGGCAACAGTTTATTTGTGTTGATCTCAAAACTACAGGCACAAAAACAAAAATAGCAAGTGATGGCAAGTCGACATAAAACCCATGCAGTCAAAGGAATTAGCAACACTTGGAAATGGCGAATAAGTGAATCCTCACCTCGCCACGTCAGTAACAATTGCAGCCTTGCCTTGACTAATTCAGCATTTCCTGAAGCTTAAGAATCACCCCCAAACCTAGGCTAAGTCCAGATAACTGTACCTGGCCTCAGTGAGATTCCTCCTAGAGTCAGACATGTAATGTCAATCAAACTCTTCCCATTCTGATAAGCACTCATGTTTCACTTACAAAACCTAACGCAAACAGGCACAAGAAGAGTCACCCAACCCTAATTCACGGCATGAACCCAACAGAGTCAAACGCCAGACCCCAAACCCCAGACCCCAGAGTCAATCCCCAGACCCCGCTCCATCCCAATTCCTAGTTTCACTGAACTCCTCCCAGCTCATCCAGCAGCAACTACCACTTACTCTCCAAATGACACCAGAGCTGCCCGCCTGACACTCAGCCATATTCACCTTTCCAATCCTCCTCTTTCTCTGTGGTCTTACAGTCCATCTCACCACCCCCAGCTCACTACCCCACACCAGACTCATCATTCCTTCTCCAACTTCCCACACTGACACCACGGCTCAGGCTCCCATCCCAGCTACAGCACTTTCTGATGCCCTTCGTACTTTGAGTCTCCGCTGTGTCAGGAACAGAAGCCAGCAACAACCTTAAGTTTGACTTGAGAGAGAGTTAATGGGGATCTTGACAAAGTTGACCCTGTGTCATGTGCTTATTCTACGGGACTTTTTCAGAGGTCACCGAGACACCAATGGTACGCTTGGGACCCCAGAGCTTTAGAGAGACCCGAGTTACCTGCTGTCTTGTCAACCAGGAGCAGCAGAATGAGCACGGTCAGGAAGTAAGGCTTTGCAACTGCCATGCTGAAAAGCATGGAGGGCTGTGTTGCAGGTGAACGGGTAGGAATCAGTGCAGCCGAGCAGGGCCCTGCCCCTGTCGGTTTTGAAAAAGAGCCAGGGTTGGGGCCAGTGAACTGAAAGGGATGGTAAAATCTGAGGTTAATCAAGCAGAAGGGTGCCATGCCTCAGGCATCCCAGCCAGCAATAACCACAGCAAAGCAGGCCCACCTTCCAGTGAGAAATAAAGACAAAGTTTAGCCAGTTGACCCATTACGTGAGACAGATGAGAATAGATGAGTCACCCACTCAATGAGAAAATTAACACTCATAACAAGAAATCTCCAGACAGGAGGCTTTACTAGAAGAGTGTCTGCTAGAAAGAAACGAACTACGTGGCATCGTAAAAATGCAAGAAGGTTTAAGATTCCGTACAGGAACACTCAATCATCGTCAACTTTAGCTCAGGAAAGCTGGGCGGAGGGGCTGGAGAGATGGTTCAGTGGTTAGGAGCACTGGCCGCTCTTCCAGGGGAGCAGAGTTCAGGTCCCAGCACCCTCACGGCGGCTCACAACTGCCGTCACCTCCAGGGGACTCTCTCCTCCATAGGCACCAGGTACGCACATGGTGCACAGATGCGCATACAGGCAAAACACCCATGTGACACCAAATAGATCAGACCAAGCCACTATTTGAAACAATCGAACAAAAACCCCCGAACAACAATGACAAAGCTGGGTGGGGCAGAAGACAAAGGGCCCGGTAGATTATGTTGCCAAAGAAAGATATGAGTGGCCAATGAGCACATAAAAAAGACACTCCCAGGGTTGAGGAAATAACCCATGGGTAAAGTGCTTGCTGTGAAGAACGAGGACCCAAATTCAAGACCCCCGCACCCACATAAAAAGTCGAATCCGCAGTGCTGGATTGGGAGTGGCTGGGCTGTCTGGACAAATCCACAAGCTCCGGGTCAGTGAGAGAGCCTGTCCCCAAAGGTAAAGTGGAGAGCAATAAAAGAAGAAAACTGATGTTGGCTTTTGGTCTCAATAGGTATATGTACAGGTGAGCATACACACACACACACACACACACACACACACACACACTCACACACACTCACTCATAGGTGTATCTACATCATGTTTACACACACATGCACACACACACACACACACACACTCACACACACTCACTCATAGGTGTATCTACATCATGTTTACACACACATGCACACACACACACACACACACACTCACACACACTCACTCATAGGTGTATCTACATCATGTTTACACACACATGCACACACACACACACACACACATACACACACACACACGCTCACCATCACTAACCATAAAAGAAATTCAACTTCAGACTCCAGTGAGGCATCATATCATACTTCTGAGAATGCACGTCATTTCAAAACAGGAGCAACAGACGTCGTCAAGAATTTGCTGCCTTTTGCAGCACTGCTGGCACTAGGACGTGCACGCAGCAACAGTGGAAGGCGGTACACGGAGCGGAATTGCCCACAGTTACACCCAAGGGTTCCTCCCCAGGGAAGCGCTGGGGACAGAGGTTTCAGAGCCGTGTCCACAGTGGCATCGTGCATAGCAGTCAGACCTGTCACTCACTACTGGCTGGAGGGATCTACAAGGCGGGTGTGCATGGGAACACAGGTTTGCGCTCCTGTTCTGATGCATGCTCTGACGTTGCTGGGCCTCGGAGACACTGCACCAAGTGAAAGAATCCAGTCAGAGGTGCAGAGACACACTCATGGGAGTCGCCCAGAATCGAGCTTCTAGAAACGGACTTCGGAGCTGTGGTTTCCAAGGCTGAGGAAGCAGAGAGGGAAACGGGAAGCTGGAGCTCACTGGGTCAGAGCACTTCAGAACCGAGCTGCTGCCCCGAGCTTCTGACGGCCTTGCCATGGGGGAAGACACTGGTCCTGGGGCTAATTTAGCTGCTGGCTCACTTCTCCTCTTTTTATTAAACCGATACATAAAGGTTGTACGCATTTGAGAATTTTGTTTTTGTTTTTGAGACAGGGTTTCTCTGTGTAGCCTTGGCTCTCCTGGACTTGCTTTGTAGACCAGGCTGGCCTTGAACTCAGGAAGATCTGCCTGCCTCTGCCTCCCTGAGTGCTGGAATTAGAGGTGTGAGCCACCATGCCTAGATGAATTATGATTTTTCAAAGTGGAATATTTCTATACATGGAATTATGCCCAAATAAGGGTTAATCTTTGTCTTTAACCATTTTTCATTTCTTCACAGTAAAAATATTTAAGATCCTTTTTCCTTTTCCCAGATTTGCCTGAGGGACGCACAGGAGAATAGGAAGCACTTTAGGCTGCTGTGAGCCTCTGTGACCCTCTAATTCAGCGTCGTGTTGCAGTGACCCCCATCCATAAAATCATTCCGTTGCTACTTCATAGCTGTAACTCTGCCACAGTAACATATATAACGTGTCTGAGACGCGACCCTATGGAGGGATTGTGACCCACAGGTTCAGAACTGCCCTTCTAGAGGCTGCTGCCTTCACAGACATGACACAAGCGAGCGCCTGCAATCACCTGTTACGTGGGCACTCGACTGGCGGCCCACGTTAAAGTGCCTATCTACACAGATGGTGAGTGCAGGCTTGGGGACCCGTTTGCTACCGCTGAAGTCTGGAGGGACAGAGATTTCCTGACACCAACGAGAAGCAAACACCCAAGGGAACTGAGCCAGCGGTTTAACGACATGATTGCCGTTTCCCCAGCTGGCGTACTTTCATGGCAGGACTCATGCCAAATAAGCTTGAACATCTAGATGAATCCCCACACAGGACTACTCTGGTTTGGCTGGGGGAATGGGAGTCCCCTTCCATCAGCCCGGGGACTCTGATTCACAGTTTCAGAAGTGTGAACATGCAGGGCTGGAGGCGTGGCTCAGTGGTGCAGTGCTTGCAGAGGACTTGAGTCTGGTGCCAGCACCCCTGTCAGAAAGCTCACGACTGCCTTTAACTTCAGTTTCAAGGGACCTGTTGCCCTTTTCTTGTGCTCACATGTACACAAATCCACACACACACATACACATGATTAAAAATAAATCTTTAAAAGAAGAAAAGCACGAAACTCTCCCAAAACTTGACTTCCACGCTATACTTGGACGGCCTTTCTTCTTTTACATGAGTCCAAGTGCGTGCGTGTGTGTGTGTGTGTGTGTGTGTGTGTGTTCTCAGGAGTGGATGCTTGTGCATAGTTGTACGCCTGAAGGTAGACGGTTGGTGTCAGGTGTCTTTCTCAACCGCTCTCTGCTTTGCACATTGAGGCAAGGCCTCTCCCTTGAGCTCAGCCCACTAACTTGGCTGGTCTAGCCAGCCAGCTTGATCTGGTTGTCCCCTGTCTTTGCCTCTCAAGCTGGGATGGCAAGTTGCCGCCTCATTCTCCTGGTGTTTACAGGGTGCTGTGGAGCTGCCTTTGTGCTTGATTGGCAAGTGCTTTCCCCACCGAGCCACTGCCGAAGCCCCGCCGATGGCTTTCTCCCGTTGCCTAACCAACACTATCACTTGAAAAGAATGAAAAGCTTGGAATCTCAACACATCTATGATAGGAATCAGATAATTCAGGTCACAAGACAAACACATGCCGTTTTTAGATTTCAAGCTAAATATTGTCAGGCTTGAAGACCATTAGGGCCAGACTCCCCCTCTCATAACCACCGACCTGTAAAACCAAGAACAGCATCAGTGAGACTCTAACTGGTCATGAGATGGGACCTGAGATTGATCTGCAGCCGTAAGAAGAGACTTGACATCATGAACTGCCCTGAAGGCCGTTAATTGATAACTACCTAAATCCAGTTCCAGAAATCTAAACATAAAATTCTTACCCAGCCTCAGTTTTATGTGCCTTTGCTCACTCTAAAGAGAGCCAATCCAAATGTGCCTCAGTCACCTGGACAAGAAAATGCCTCTCAAGAAAGCTGCCTGTTCTACACACTTTAGACGTAGTAAAACCAGCAGGGCACAGTGGCACATGCCTGTAATCCCAGTACTCTGGAAGGCACAGGCAGGTGGATCTCTGTGAGTTCAAGGCCAGCCTGGTCTATAAAGTAAGCCCAGAATAGCCAAGGCTACACAGAGAAACCCTGTCTTGAAAAACAAAAAAGAAAGAAAGAAAATAAAAGAAAGAAGAGAAAAGAGGAAGGAACAAAGGAAGGAAGGAGGGAAGGAGGGAGGGAAGGAAGGAGGGAGGGAGGGAAGGAGGAAGGGAGGGAGGGAGGAGGAAGGAAAGAAAGAAGAAAGGAAGGAGGGAAGGAAGGAAGGGAGGAATAGTACAGACATCTAAAAATGGAGGTTGGCTCAATGGTCTGCCTGGACACTCAGCTGCACCGTGTACAAGCCCTCTGCTTGTCACTGGTCCCTTTATCCACTGCTCTTGGCCATCCCTCAGGTGACCTCAGCTGTTCTGAAATAAACTGCATCAGTCTTCTACTCTACACTCTCTGCTCTCATCTTTTAGGCTATTGGCACTATGGGACTCTAAGATAAGTAAAAAAATCCTGGGGCAAGGCCTCCTGGGACTTGGTGACAAATGCACATTTTCCCCCCTAAAGGTTTTACTATCAGAAGGAAAGGAGCACCACGTGGCGCCTCAGTGCCATAGTTTTGCTTTGTATTATGTCACACGCTCAAAGAGATGGTGTTTGCAGCCTTAGATAATTAAGTCGTGTCAATCTTTGGAACTCTTGCACACCAGGAATTGTAAATGGGACTCTGTTTCTACAGTAAGCCCAGAGTTCTACGAAATCCCACAAACATCAGTGACATCCTACTTGATTACTGTCTCCACAATTTTGAATGTGGGCATGAACGACTCTGATCCTAAAGGATTACTTGGCTAAGTTAAATCGAGCCAGAGCCTTATTGCTAATGCTATAGACAGCTAAGATTGACTCCCTTTAGCAGGCAGGATGTTTCCCCCTTCGATCAATGCCTGATCTAGTCGCTGGGTACCAGATTGGGGGGGGGGGGGGGGGA